AAGTATGGGTTCCCTGCTCCCTGGGAAGGGGCTAGAGGGAAGAACTGGGAAAGAGCCCATCCCTTCAGAGCCTTTACAGGGAGCAGAGGAAGCCCTAGAGAGTAAGGGCAGGTATTTAATACAGCAGTTGTCTTGGTGTGGACCCTTTTGTCACCACCTTTGCTGGTTTTCACTAAAGTGTGAACTGCTGCCCGTGGTGTGCTGCTGTTGTCAGACCTCTGATGAGCTGTCACCTGCCTAATGTAGTACCTTTGCTCTCTAGATCCCACGTGTAGATGGGGAGTATGACCTGAAAGTGCCCCGAGACATGGCTTACGTCTTCAGTGGTGCCTATGTTCCTCTGAGCTGCCGAATCATTGAGCAGGTGAAAAAGATTCACTTTTGCCTCAATTGCTATTGCACTCTGTGCTTCTTCTTGGTCCTTGGCCCCTCTCAACTTTCACTTTCCAAGTCACTAGCTAGGACCTTGAGTCTCACTGTTACTCCTTTCCTTTCCTAAACTCACTATCAGAAGACCTGAAGCCAGCGTTTGTACGTTCCTAGGTGCTGGAGCGGCGGAGTTGGCAGGGCCTTGATGAAGTGGTACGGCTGCTAAACTGCAGTGAGTTTGCATTCACAGGTATGGGGCACTGTTAGTGCATGGTCAGGGAGGGCGGGCGGCCCATGACCGCGGGCTAGTGTGTGAGTAAGGATGGAGTCCACTCTCCTCACAGACATGGCTAAGGAAGACAAGGCTTCCAGCGAGTCACTGCGGCTCATCTTGGTGGTGTTCTTGGGGGGCTGCACATTCTCAGAGATATCAGCGCTGCGCTTCCTGGGTAGAGAGAAAGGTGAGAACAGAAAGGTGAGCGCAGGGTTGCGTGGGTTCTGGAGACCACATGTCCTGCCCAGGAAGCTTTCCTCCTGGCTCTGGACCACTTGTACAGCCTTGCTGGGAACTGCTATAGCAGAAGGTAGGGGAGCACAGTCTGCCAGGCTTGACGCATAGTAGTGCCCTAGAGACTGCAACTGATAGTTTTATTTTTCTATTTTTCTCTTCAGTTGTTGGGGACAGGCAGGTCCAGATGTGTCTATGCCTGTAAACCTGCATTCTGATCCTGGGGCACTGGGGTACTATGGAAGTAGTGGGCTTGGCCTGTTGGGACCTGAGGTCTGTTTAGTCACTTCTGCTACTTCTCTTGACTCTTAGGGTACAGATTTATTTTTCTGACAACTGCTGTTACAAACAGTGCTCGCCTCATGGAAGCCATGAGTGAGGTGAAATCCTGATGTTTTCCTGACTGTGGATACTGACAAGAGGCTGGTGTTTGGCATCTACCTTCTAAGACCCCCGCTCCCAGCTAGACTTACTACTCAGAGCTGGGGACTTTGGAACTAATTCTGGGGAGAGAATTCATGTCCCGTCCCCAGGATACCCCTCTTGCTTATGAATTGTATATAGTTCATGCTGCTAAGGTATGAGGGGAGAGGTATTCTTTGCTAAATCCTGTTTGACAATTATTGTAAATAAACCTCTGTTCTCAAATGCAACATCTTTGTAGTCCTAGACAAACAATCTCTTTTTTTACACTGTGAGACTTTCCTGGGTGGGGGGGGGGGGGCTTCATGTGCTTCACGGCCTGGACTTTCATTGATTACTCTGGGCTGCTGAGGTTTGGTCTGTTGGTACATATTGTAATGTTAAGTTTTGTACTGGAAGGAATGAGTTAAAATACGAGCCTCATATTTACCAGCCTTTGTTGTACAAACCTTGTTCCTTAATTTAAAACTGTTGGTTAAATAAAAATGGTACAGCCAATTCCTGGAGGGATTAGAGATTGGTGGGTTTTGAGTTACCTGGTTGGGAGCTGCAACAAAGGAGAGAGAAAGGAGACAGAGGGGGGAGGTAGCCACTGTGAGAGAAGATGGACCCTGAGCACAAGGCCAGGAGACACCAAGTATGTGGGGTACACCACTGGGGAAATAGCCAGGCCAGCATTTAGAAAAGTAGATTAGGGGTTACCACCAGTAACTGTCATAGCCAAATAAAATAACCATAGTCTGAGTCTCATTCTTTTGTAAACTAGACAGGGATATGTTCAAAATAGTTCAACTATATTGGGCCTGCTCCGTTTTTTCCAGTGTGAGTCACTAGCCTGGTTCCTCACATGTAAAGGAGGAGGAAGCAGCAGTGCTCCACAGACACCTCTCCATTCCTAAAGCTCTGTGCTCATTACACTTTCCAGAAGACAACGTTGTTACTGCTCTAACTTAAAGAGATACTTTTAAAAAAAAGATTTATTTATTTATTTATTTAATGTATATGAGTGCACTATAGCTGTCTTCAGACAGCTAGAAGAGGGCATCAGATCCCATTACAGATGGTTGTGAGCCGTGAGATGTGGTTGTTGGGAGTTGGACTCAGGACCTTTGGAAGAAGAGTCAGTGCTCCTGAGCCATCTCTCCAGCTCCTTAAAGAGACAGTTTTATTTGTTCCTTTTTTTGAGACATGTTCACTGGCTAGCCTAGACTTATGTAAGCCAGGCTGGACTCGAACTTATGGTGATCCTCCTGCCTCTCACGTGTTTTAATTACAGGTTTCTATTAGTGTGTCTAGTACATAAAATGTTTTGCTCTTTGTTTTCTGAAAGTAAGAAACACATCTTTCTGATGCCAGACTTGATTATAATCCCAGCACTTGGGAGGCTCAGGCAGGAAGATGACTCACAAGTTGAAGACCAGCTTGGGCTATGTAGTGAGTTTCATACCATCCTGGTATACAGAATGAGACCTTGTCTCAGAAAATGAAAACAAGGCAGGGCATGATAGTGCTTGGTTGCACTCCCCTTTAGCCTTAACAGTCAACAAACAAACAAACATCACCCACAATAAAACAGTTCTGAGCTGGGACACCAGTGGTGGCTTATGCTTTTAATCTCAGCATTCACAAGGCAGAAGTAGACGGATGTCTGAGTTCAAGGCCAACCTGGTCTACAGAGGGAGCAAGGCTACACAGAGAAACCCTGTCTCAAAAAAAAAAAAAACAACAACAAAAAAACCCCCCAAAACATATAAAACCAACAATATAGTTCTAGAGGCAAAATAAAGTCTGTTTGTTTTTTTCTATTTGTTTAACCCAGGGTCTATCTAAACCTGGCTGGCCTAAATCTGTTTCCCAGACTGGTCTCTCACACAGAGATCTCCCTTGAGTGCTGAGATCTAAGGTGTGGGCCACTAGGCCTAGTCCTGCCTTCTTTACTTTTTTTTTTGTTTTGTTTTGTTTTGTTTTTTTTCGAGACAGGGTTTCTCTGTGTAGCCCTGGCTGTCCTGGAACTCACTCTGTAGACCAGGCTGGCCTCGAATTCAGAAATCCACCTGCTTCTGCCTCCCAAGTGCTGGGATTAAAGGCATGCGCCACCACCACCCTGCTCCTTCTTTACTTTTAAAGACAAAAGTAACTGATGGCCTAGGAGTTGACTCAGTCATTAATGGTGCCTTGACGACCCAATTCAAACTCCTAGGGCAGCTTCTCAGCCTTCCTGATGCTGTGGTGAGCTCCAACCATAAAATTATTTTCATTGCTACTTCATAGTTGTAATTTTACTACTGTTATGACTCAAATATCTGATATGTAGGATGTCTGCTATTCCACTCCTGTGACAGGGTTATTTGACCCCCTCCCACCCCAGAGGGGTCAAGACCCACATTTTGAGAACCACTACCGTGGATTCTACTTCCTAGACCCATGCAGTGGAAGGAGAAACCTGAATCTTGTAAGTTGCCCTCTGTTCTCCATATACTACCACCCCATACACAAATAAATTTAATAAATGTATTTATCATAAAAAGAAAAGCAAATAATGAAACTCTTATAGATGATGGTACAATTGACCAATATAGAAAAACAATGTCAGTTATAATTCAGTATAAACCAGATTTTGTTTCGTTTCTGACCTATAGATGGAACCTACTGGTTTAAAAGCACATTGCTAATCACCACTGCTGTGGGTAACAAGGATACACCAAGCAAAGCTTGGCGCAGAAGATAGGTTAGGTTAATAAATACCTCTTTGGAAGGGAATGTTCAATAATTACACTTCTACAAATCATTTTGGAGAAGGTAGCAAAAAAAAGAGATTTATCTCAGCTTTATTACAAATTTTAGTCTGAGTAGCAAAATGTTTGTCTGAGGAGATACTCTCATACCAGCGTATTAGGGAATAGTAAATGACTGAAAAATGGGATACAGATGCAGAAAGGAGCAACTATGGATCCGTGGGAAGAAAAGGACACACAATACTTTGATGTCATGTTCCAATTGTGAAATTTTCCTAATTTACCTAAATCCTATAATTTGCAAGAAAAACAAAGCCCAGATTCTCGCCGCCATTTGCTGACAGCTTAATTGGGCAAAATAAATTAGTCAATCTTTTCATGTAGCCCAAACTATTTCCCTGTCCTGCCTCAGCCGCCTACGTTCTGGAAAAGCTTCTCAAATCTTTTCGAGTTTTTCTTCAGGATAGTGATGATTATTATTAATAGGTGTGTCCTAATGATTAAATGCGATAAACTTGTCTACCAAGGTACCAGGACCAAGAGCCTGGTTTATTTGCCGTCTAAGCTTTCCTGCTAATCCCTGCTCCTCTTGGGACGTTGGAGAGTAGCGAGTAGATGAGCTGTTCTGGTAGTCTCCCCGTTACCTCAGAGGAAGCTCAAAATTTTGAAACCCAACGGCGCCGACGGGGTGGGGCTCGGGTGACATCATAGGTCACCCCCCCACCCCCCCCCTGAGGCTCTAGCTTGAGTCCTAGGTGTACGCATGCGCACACTGAGGCCCGCGCGCTCCCAGTGTAAGCTCTACCCACGCCCTGAGCGGTCTCTGTACTCCAGCCCTCAGGCCTCGGCTGCAGCCTTACGCAGGAAGGGCGGGGCGAGGGCGGGGCTCCGTGAGTGGCGGACGCAGTAGCCAATTGTCAGGCGGCGCCGCCTCTAGCTGGGTTTGAATTCCGCGGGGTCCAACGGCTCGAGAGTGGAGACGGAGTGAAGGTGAAAGCTACCGCCGCTGGCTACCGTTCTCCGTCCCGCGCGTGGGAAGTGGAAGGTCTCGATTCTGGACGGCTTGGAGCGTCCACCATGAGGAGAAGGTACGGGTCTCTTAGGAGAAAGAGCCATTATCGAAGTGCGGGTCTGGTACCAGGTTCCACAACCTGGGTTCGCCCGTCTTCAGGCATCGATGTCTGAGGCTGGGGGCGCTGGAAGCCGGCTTCGGAGGACATCTGTACCGGAGGCCACTACCGGGGCGATCAGCGGGCGGGACAGCGCGGGGTTGACACGCTTCCTCGAGGCCAGGGTGGGTTTGTCTTGGGCCCTGGCGCAGCTGGCGGCCGAGCGCTGGTGCAGCCTCAGGTCCCGGCTACTCGGCCGCTTCTCTGTGTAAATGCTGAGCCTGTAATGGTGTGGACTTCTCTAAGTATAGTCTGTAATCCCATTGCTCGGGAGGCTAGAACAAGATTGATTCGAGTTTAGCCTAGAAGTAGTTTAAGACTAACCTGGGCCACTTAGCGAGACCGTTCAAAAAGCCCTGAAGTTTTAAATGCATCGTTTTTCTTCGTCTCTATGGTTCCTTGTTTTGATTCGAGTTGGAAAGATGGCTTGATTTCCTTGGAAGTTAACAAACTCAAATTATGGAATTCCTTTCCGGTCGTTTTAAGATTCCGTCTAGGCGGGGTTAGAGAGATGGTTCGGCGGCTAAAAAAAAGCACTGGCTGCTCTCCCAGAGCACCTGGATTCAATTCCCAGCACTCACAAAGCAGCTCTCAACTTTTTGTAACTCCAGTTAGTTCCAGGTGATTTGACATCTCCACACTCATACATGTAGGCAAAACACCAACACACATTAAAAGAATAAATAGAATCCAATATTAAAAAGAAAATTCCCGGGCACTGCTTGGGAGTTCCCGATTTGAAATCCGATAAGAACTGACTCTGTAAGAGGCTGAATGCCGGTTTTCGAACTTCTAAAATAACTTTCTGCAGTGAGTGTTGTAATTTTTAAGAATCTTGGTTTTGTGATTATTGATTTTGATCATAATTTTTAACCCCATATACTTGGCCTCAAAAGTCGAGGAATAGAATGAAAACGCTTAATAAATAGTATTGTGAAAACGGAGAACAAGGCGAAGAATTCCAGATACGCGCATCTGAATGACATTATATTTAAGCTCTTCTGGGATTACTGGTGCATTATGAAGACTAGTAAAATCCTAAATTACATTGAAAAGAAACTTGAATTCAAAATGTATTTGGATATGGTTACCCTCAGCTGTAATCTGCAAATATCAGAAGCCCAAGGCAGAAGAGTTCCAGACATCCTGCAATATAAAGAGGTTCCATTTCAAACTAGGAAACCCAGACTGCTGGGTGAGGTGGCACATCTATACTCCCACTGCTTTCTTGGGAGGTAGAGGTAGGAGGTTCAAGACCACTCTAGCCTATAAGACCTCCCCTCCCCCCCAAAAAAGTACTATAAAGTTTCCCAGTATGGGTTGTTCAAGCATCTTCTGCTTTTTAAAAAAATTTAGAGACAGTCTTGCAGGAAGGCCACACCAATCCCTTGTCTTGGTTTCAGTTGGATTTGAGATCCTTGAATTTATGTCTCAATGTTGTATTCTAAAGAGATTTCTTTCTTATTTTATTTATTTATTAGGGTAGGGTGCTTTTAAAACAGGGTCTGTATACAGCCCTGGCTGCCCTGGAACTCCCTGTGTAGACCAGGCTGACCTCAAATCCAGAGATGCAGCTGCCTCTGCCTTCTGAGTGTGGGGATTAAAGACATACACCATCATATGTGGTCCCTTTTGGGGGGGGCTGGGATGGAGGGGGGAAACACTAAACCCCTGAACTATTATAAGCCAACCTAATTAATTGATTTTCTTTATAAGAAAAAGAAACTCAAGTCTTCTGGGAGAGCAGCCAGTGCTCTTAACCTCTGAGCCATCTCTCCAGCCCCGTCCTCTTTCTTTATCCCTCATTCACAGTTCATTAAATGGGAAAGGACCGAGCATGGTGGCACATACCTCCCTGTACAGGTGGCTCTCCGAGTTACAGGCCAGCCAGAGCCACATGGTGAGATCCTGTCTCAAAAGAAACCAACAAAAAGTGAGAGGACTGGCTCCAATTCCCTATGTGTGCTCCTCACTTTCAGACGCTATAAGGGCCACTCAGGTTTGCTAACAGAGTGGATAAAACCATTCCTTTGTTGTTTGATCTGAATTAAAGAAACCTAGTGCACCCTGTCTTGAGGGAAAAAAAAGAAAAAAAGAAAAAAGAAACCTAGTGCAAAGAGCACATATCTCTCCAAATGAGATCTGTAAATGGCTGGTTGGTTGTTCAGTATTAGTCATCAAAGACATGTAAATCAGAATCACAGTTAGATACTACTTCATAGCCACTAGGATGGCTAGAATGACAGAAAACAGCCAGGCATTGGTGGTACGGGCATCTGTGGCAGGCACCTTTAATCCCAGCACTCAGATGGACTCGGGCGGAACTCTGATTCCAGAGCAGCCAGGGCTACACAGAGGGGGGCTGTGCAGGGAAATGAAAGAATGCACCTGCATATACTGCTTGTGGAATAAACCCGCTGGAGCAGCAGTGGTGTACAGTCTCAGTTACCATACAACCCAACAGTCCCACTGCTAGGACTTAGCTAAGAGAAGTGAAAGGATGCTCACTCAAAAATTTGCACAAGAATTTTGTGTTTTATCAAGAAAGGGTTCCATGTAGCCTAGGCTGGCCTCCTACTCACTAAACAGTCAAGGATTTCACTTGTAATTGTATTGTGTTAATGTGTGGTTCAGTCACCAGCAGAGGTCAGAGGTACTCCAGTCCTCCCGTGGGAATTACAGATGACTGTGATCTGCTTGATACAAGTGCTTTGAACTGAACTCCAACCCTCTGGAAGAGGAGCATGCACTTTTTTTTTTTTTTTTTGGCTTGTTTTTTTCTATACGTCTGTGTGTGTGTGTGTGCCTGTGTGCCTATGTGCGTGTCTCCCTGGCTGTCCTGGAACTGGTTCTGTGAAGTAGGTGGCCTTGAATTTACATAGATCAGACTGCTTCTGCCGCCCGAGTACTTGGGATTAAAGGTGTGTGCCAACACACCCAGCTCTGAATTTAATTCTTAACACCCACATGGCAGCTCGAAGCATTTGTAATGCAAATTCCAAGGGATTCAATGTCCTCTTCTGACCTCCTTAGGCACCAGGCACACACATACATGATGCACAGACATACATGCAGGCAAAACACCCGTATACATAAGAACAAATGATGTGCTTGTGAGTGACATGTTCCTAGTTTCCCAGATAAGACTGCTGTACATGAAGGGAACCTAGTCTGTAGAAACATCCAGCGTCAGAAAATAAGCTGCATGTGACTGGGGCAGGGACACTGTCCAGGGAACAGCAGGCAGTTCTGCTGGCTGCGCTGGAGGGATTGATGGGTTGGAGGATAAGGTAATTGAACTGTTTTCCTGAGGACAGTATGAAATCTTTGGGGGAGGTGGGCATTTTCTCGGGGGCTTGATCAGTTTTATTTTTTTTAAGCCCTAGATTATATCTGGGTGCTAATACCATCCACCTTGTATAGGCAACTGTTTGTTATGCAGAAACTTTTCTAGCACAGGCAACCTCTAAACTGCGATTTTATGGTGCTAGAAAGAAATGTTTGAGTGTGAGTATAGTAAGGTTTGTTTTTGACTGTTGAAGATTTTTTGAGGAACTAAAGGAGGTCTAGACTGTTGTTTCTTAAAAATCACTGAATTCTCTGAAACACACCAGTAACCAAAGCGCCTCAGCCCTCATCATTTGTGGGAATACAGCAGCAGGTTAAATGGCTTATTCCAAGGTCTGTGCTAAAGGGTGATAGAGTTTATCCAGGCCCCAGTTCTCTGGAGCCAAAATAGTCTTGTTTCCTTGCTATACTAAGAAAAAGGAGAAAACAGTCTGCTCTTTAAGTGTTATATATAAAGGAGATTAATTTTTTTATTTGTTTTTTGAGACAAGGTTTCTCTGTGTAGCCCTGGCTGTCCTGGAACTTGTTCTGTGGACCAGGCTGGCCTCAAATTCAGAGAACTGGCTACCTCTGCACTGCTAGTGCAGGGATTTAAGGCATGTGCCACCACTGCCTGGCTAAAGATATTTTACATTTATCAGTTATTTTGTGAAAGTCAAAGGCCAACATGTAGGAATCAGTTTTTTTCCTGCCATAGGAAGGTTACAGGGATCCAACTTAGGTTGTTAGTCTTCCCAGGTTGAGCCCTTTTGCCAGCCTAGCATGTTTTGAGCTTTAGCAATGTTGTGTGTAGTTTGTTCCTTTGCGTTGTTGGAATGTATTGATCCATTCTGTTGACATACAAGCTGTTTCCACTTCCTATGCTATGACTGACTAAGTGCTGCTTTTATCAACACTCAGTCTTTCTTGGCTTTGTTTTTGGTTGGTCAAGACAGGGTTTCTCCGTGTAGCTCTGGCTGTCCTGGACTGACTTTATACACTAGTCTGGCCTTGGCCTCACAGAGATCCACCTGCCTCTGCCTCCTGAGTGCTGGGGTTAAAGGTGTGCACCACCAACTGCTGGGCTTGTGGGGTACATTTGTAATCCCAGTGCTCTGGAGGCCGAGGCAGAAGATTCTTAGACTTAAGGCTCAGCCTCTCAAGTGTAGGCTTTATAGGCACACACCACCTTGCCCAGCTCTCTGCCAGTTGTTTTCAGGAGCTTCTTTCTTACCAGCAAGCACTTATGTTAGGAGTTTATTTTACTGATACTTTGTTTGGTTTTTCTTATGTAAAAGCATTTGTAATTCAGTATTAGACATAGAGTCAGTGCTCAGAGTCATTGGCTGTTATTTAGGTGAATGGAATAATTTTGCTAGTGTGGCAATTAGGAGACAGAGAATGGCTAGGCGTTTATTAAAGTAATATGCTTACTCTGAATCTATTTACTCTCAAGGCCACTGGGAAACTGCTCAATTTAGTTCCTGAAAATAGTGCTTTTCGTTCTGAAGCAGTGATGCTGGCTGGCTCTTACAAACAAACTGGTTTTCTATTGATTTTCAGTGAGGTGCTAGCTGAGGAGTCTGTTGTGTGCCTCCAGAAAGCTCTAGCTCACCTTCGGGAAATCTGGGAGTTGATTGGGATCCCAGAGGAGCAGAGACTGCAGAGGACCGAGGTCGTCAAGAAGCATATAAAGGTAAGTGATCCGTGGGTCCATCCGCACGGAGAGCAGTAGAGATGTTATCTGAGATTACAGACGGACTGACATTTGGGGTCTTGGTGGGGTAGCTTAGTAGGTACTGGCACCTGCTGCAACTCTGATACAAGCCCAGAGACCTGAGCTCAGTTGCCAGGACCCTATATGATATAAGGGGGATTGACACCGTGACCTTGTCTTCTGTCCACGCGCTTTCTGTAGCACTTACATTCCTCAACCCCACATCCTAAACACACATAACAACAACTAAGTTTTAACGGGAAATAATATCTAGTCATTTATGCTAAGATATCACAGACTTCCTGATTTTATTTAAATCCCTGTAAACTTTGAAATTATGAGGGTTTTGCTATTGATGCTAGTTGGTTTTGTGGGTTTCTGGTATGTTCTTGATGTTGTTCTGTTTTGTTTTATTCCCATTGGCTCTAAACCCTTACCAAGTATTTTCTCACTTGTAGGATCTTCTGGATAGAATGGTCGCTGAAGAAGAGAGCCTGCGGGAAAGGCTTCTCAGAAGCATATCCATCTGTCAGAAGGAGCTGAGTACCCTGTGCAGTGAGTTACAAGTGAAGCCATTTCAGGTATTTGGCAGAACAGGAGATTGGTTTTAACTTAGGACTGCAGACACAAAGCTTTCCTGCAGGAGTCGGAAATGGGATGCTGAAGTGAAGCAGCTAATAGGTTATCAAAACCCCCTTGCTGTATTTCTGTTTTATAGAGCATGATAATGTTTTTAAATTAACTTTGAGGAAAATGGAGGCACAGATGTTTGTGTGAAACAAAGGGATGGGGGAACAGTGAAGAAATGGGTTAATTGGTAAAATCCTTCCCTCTCAGATATGAGAACCTGAATCCAACCCTCATATTCACACAAAAAAGCCAGATAGCATATGCTTATAAGAGTCAGAGATAGGTTGATCTCTGAGGCTTACTGGCTAGCCAGCCCAGCCAAATCTATAAGCTTCAAACCAATAAAAGACCTTGTCTCCAAAAAGAAAACAAAAACAAAAGGCAGAGGGCTAGGGAAATGGTTCAGCAGTTAAGAACACTTGCTGCTCTTGAATTGGAGCTGGATTCAGTTCCCAGCACATGTGGTGTCCTACAACTTGTCCTGAACTCCAATTCCAGGGATCCAGCACCTTCTTCTGGCCTCAGTGGGTATCAGGTTCCCGTGTAGTACACTGAAGACATGTGCAGAAGAAAAGCTCATACCCTTATAAATCTTTAAAACAAAAAGCAAAGCGAACAATGTCTAGGGAGTGACACCCAAAATCTGGTCTATTTGTTCATATAGGTGTACATGCTCCCATCCACCCTGACAGAGTGAGGGAACAGAGGCGGCAAGGGAACCTAGTGATAACAAAGAAAGGGAGGCAAACCAAACCTAACCATCCTGTTCTGTCCATACTCAAAAGCTGCATACTACTGAACCAACCAGAATAGTGACCTCTGAAAAGTTGGGACCCAGAGGGAGCTTTGAAAGGTGGTAATGACTGGTTCTTGTGACCTGATTACTGTTACAGGACTAACTAAGCACCTGCGTCTGTAGATGGCCTAACTCTGGCAGTCAAGAGCATTCAAGCAGATCATGACATTAGAGCAATTTCTTGAAATAATTATAAATGACATTGATTTGCTACATAAAGTTTCTCTTCAGTCTTTTTGTTTTTAAATTTTCAATGTCAAAATAGGAACATGAGAAGTCAGGTGTACATTGGTGTATCGATCTTCCTTAAATATGGCAGTCTTTAACGATGCCAATGAAACTGTATTTGTAGGACATTGAATAATATTCACTCTGTTCCCTTACTTATCCACCGCAATAGAGAAGGATCTACTAAGTTGATTTTGGTAAAATGCTGTTTATAGAATTATTAATGTAAGTATTTCAGTTAATAAGAACTAGATAAACCATCCTCCAACTAACCAAAATAAGCTTTTTCTGGTCCTTATAACCACTTATAAAAGTTCCCTGATACTTAAAACAGTCACATTCATAGAGCCAGGAAACAGAGTAGCCTGGAATAGGTGAGAGTATAAATGAGGACCTTTTGTCAAACGAACAGCTGAGTTTTGCAAGAAGAAAGGAGTTCTGGAGATCAGAGACCATAAGGATTGCACAGTGGTCTTTACAAAACCAAAAAAAAAAAAAAATGTAATCTAAACCACTGTGGATGTAGGTTTTACTAGCAAGTATGATGTCCTAGTTTGTTGTTGTTGTTGTTTTGGTTTTGCGAGACAGGGTTTCTCTGTGTAGCCCTGGCTGTCCTGGACCTCACTCTGTAGACCAGGCTGGCCTTGAACTCAGAAATCTACCTGTCTCCGCCTCCCAAGTGCTGGGATTAAAAGGCGTGCGCCACCACTGCCTGGCTGATGTCCTAGTTTTAACCTCTGGTATTGGCTAAAAGGAGATCAGGCAATTGTCATGTAAAAGCCTGATGGCCTGAGTTCAGTCCCCAGAACCCACATAAGGGTGAGAAGAATCAACTCCACCAGGCCTATCCTGTTCCTGTTATATGCATGTTACTGCAGCCCCTCCACTACACACAAACAGTGGTAATAAGTTGACAAAACGACTTGTTTAATGAATTGCAACGTTCTTAAAACACAGGAGCTATAAGAGCTTTGGGGTTTTGGTTTTGTTTTGTTTTTTTGGTTTGTTTGTTTGGCGTTTTCGAGACAGGGTTTCTCTGTACATTCAGCCCTGGCTGTCCTGGAACTCACTCTGTAGACCAGGGTGGCTTCAAACTCAAATCCACCTACCTCTGCCTCCCAAGTGCTGGGATTATAGGTGTGCACAGGCCAGAGGACATCTTATAGGAGTTGTTTCTTTCCTTTTACCCTGTGGGCTCTGGGGATCAAACCCAGATTGTCAGACTTGACAGTAAGCCTTTACCCCCCAAGCCATCTTGACAGCCTGCTCTCAGGTATAAACTATGTAGATAGATGTCAATGTTGTGTCATACTGTCAAAAGGTTGCATACACGTGATGTTTGCTTGGTGTGATAGTGCAGGCCTATAAACTCAGCATGTGGAAACTTGAGGCAGAAAGATACCAAGCTCAAGGCCAGCGAGACTATCTCAAAAAGAAAAAAGTATGGTGTAGTTTGTGTAGTTTAAGTACTGTATTGAAAGTAAGAAACTGTGGTTGAGTTAGTACTTGAAATATAGACTGTACTGAGTGTGTATTGCCTTTGTCACATTGTAGATGAGAAGTTATAGAATACATCTATTGCTAAGTTGTAGACTATTGCACTATGCACTTACAAACTGAAAAGATGGTATGTATGTAGGGTGATAATTGGGTATTTTACCATAGTAAAAAAATAAATGGAAAAGGAAGTTGGGCATAGGACCCATACCAGTAACCTTAGGAGGCAGGGGGATCAGGACTTGGAGGTCTTTCTTGGTCACATAGTCCAAGTCAAGAGAAAAACAGCCTTTCACTGCTAGAAACCCTAGGTGACACTCTTCCAAGGTCAAGAGCAGGCTGGCCTTGAACTCAGAGATCCCTCTGCCTCTACCTCCCAAGAGCAAGGATGAATGGTGTGCACAGGCACGCCCAGCTTGAACTGCTTTGTTTGTAAGTTTAAACACTTATCATTCATGGTTTCTCCCAGTGTGCGTCCCATCCTTGGACTTTATAATAATCATGTTATTTCAAACAGGAAGAAAAAGAAACAACTGTCTTGCAACTGGAAAAAGATTTGCGAACTCAAGTTGAATTGATGAGAAAACAGAAAAAAGAGAGAAAGCAGGAACTTAAGCTACTGCAAGAGCAAGAGCAAGAACTCCGAGAAATTCTTTGTATGCCTGCCTGTGATGTGGACAGCACATCTGTCCCCACCTTAGAAGAGCTGAACCTATTCCGACAGCGTGTGGCTACATTGAGGGAAACAAAGGTACGCTGCCTGCATTCATTCATTCTGCCCTGAAACTTTATTTGACCTTTAGGTGTCTTTAATTTGTTTTTCTTTTTCTTTCTTTTTTTTTTTTTTTATTAAAGGAATCAAGGCATGAACAATTTGTCAACATTAAGAGACAAATCATATTGTGTATGGAAGAGTTAGAGCAGACTCCGGATACAAGCTTTGAGAGGGATGTAGTGTGTGAAGATGAAAGTGCCTTTTGTTTATCACTGGAGAACATTGCAACATTACAGAAGTTGCTAAAGCAGGTAACATCTGCTCGAGTTATGGTGTACCACCTCAGTAGTATTCATCAATTTAAAAACTAACAGCAGCTTTATCTTTAGTCTTAAATAAGGGGCCAGTGTGAGGTAAGAGAATAAGGGAAGACAAAGAATGGTGTGTTGGTGTGTGTGTATTAAAATTTCAGTTGCAATCGTATTAGCCATTTCAATTAGCCTAATGTTTAATAATAATAATAATTCAAAGTTTAAACACGTGCCTTTAAACCTAGCACTCAGTAGGCAGAGGCAAGCGAGTCTCTGAATTCCAAGCCAGCCAGGCCTACATAATGTGTCTTAAAACACAGCAACAACAACAAAACAAGTCAAAGTTTGAATCCTGTTCTAGGTCTGATATCCTGTGGCAATGAGAGCCTTTCAGAATATGTTTAGATGGCATGATAACATCTCTCTTAGCACTGAGTGTGAAAGTATGATAGCACACACCTAAGCTATAATCCAGCATTCAGGAACCTGAGCCAAAGTCAAAACCAGCCTGTGCTACATAGAGAAGATGTGAAGATGAATATATAAGAACCTCAGAAAAGTGCTCTCTCTTCTCATGGGTCCAGACATTTTCCTCTGAGAGACTAGGACAGCGTTTGCTGTTTTGGTGTAACTACTGCCTTTCCTTGTCACAGCTGGAAATAAAAAAGTCACAAAATGAAGCAGAATGTGAGGGGCTCCGTGCTCAAATCCGAGAGCTCTGGGATAGGTTACAAACCCCTGAAGAAGAGCGAGAACCTGTGGCTGCAATTATGACTGGGTCAAAAACCAAAATCAGGAATGCGGTAAGAAAACCAGTGCATGCTGGGTTAATAATGCTCTCTGAGCATTTCTGGGTCTAGTCTAATGGCCTTACTAGCTAATTTCTCGGGCCAGCAAAGACATGTTCTATCAATTTTGGCACATTTCTTAGATTTCTGACTCTTACAGTGTTATAAAGCATGTTGTTGATATACCGCCAGGTTCATGTTTTATTAACATGGATAGACAAACAAGGGAATATAGAAGTATGGGTATATAACCTTTGTCCTTTTTTTCTTTCAGTTGAAATTAGAATTGGACCGGTTAGAAGAACTGAAAATGCAAAACATAAAGCAAGTGATTGAGACAATCCGAGCGGAGGTGGCTCAGTTCTGGGACCAGTGTTTTTATAGCCAGGAACAGAGGCAGGCTTTTGCCCCTTACTATTCTGGTTAGTACAGAGCTGATGGTCTTCATGTGGCTGCTGCCCTCACAGGTCCTTTACAAGCTGAGACACTCACCAGGAAGTTCTGTTTCCACTTGTGAACAGATATGGCCAAGCCTTAAAAATATTACCGTATTTATTTTTGATCCATAAGAAAAGGGCACTAAAGCACAGATTTTGAGCAGTAAAAGAGAATTAGCTAAATGATTGAGTCTTTGAGCTCAGGGAGTCAAGAATGGAGTTCTAAGCTGTCTTAAGCTGATCAGAGAGTGGACGTGTCCTAACCAAACAGCTGTCTATATATTTTATGTAGCTGTTTCCTACCGGCTGGGCCTGGCATAAAACAGAAGAAAGAGACAACACATTTTGGAAAATGTTAATGATTTTTAGACTGCATTTTAGTCCATCCCAACTACTGTGACAAACCTGGCTTTTAATTTCTGTTTTTAAGATTTATTATTATTATATTTATTCCTATGTCATTTTATTATGAGGGAGAAAACTTGGAATACCAAACACTAGAGCAGTGGTCCTCACTTCCTAGTGCTTTGACCCTTTAGTGCAGTTCTGCATGTTGTGGTGACCCCAACCATACAATTACTTTGTTGCTACTTCATAAAACCTGTCGTTTTGTTGTTATGAATCATACTGTAAATATCTGACATGTGGGTCATGTGATATGTGATCCTGGAGAAAAGAGTTGCTCAACCCCAAAAGGTCATGACCAGAGGTTGAGAACTGCTAGAGAATTTAATAAAAAAACGGCTAAACGTGTCTGTTACAGAGGACTACACAGAGAACCTGCTCCATCTTCATGACGCTGAGATTATACGGTTGAGAAACTACTATGACCTTCACAAGGAACTGTTTGAAGGGGTCCAGAAGTGGGAAGAGAGCTGGAAACTTTTCCTAGAGTTTGAGGTAATAGCCTAGTTTATCTGTTTTTCTCTGGAGAGAAACATGAAACTGTGCCAAGTGTGTTTGCCCACATCTGTGATCCCAGCACGTGCAAGCTATGGAATTGTCATGAGTTCTAGCCTAGCCTCAGCTTAAAGTGAAAGCCAAAATAATTACAAATAGAGAAGTCAGACTCTGAGGTGAGAAAAACTGTAAGGTTTTTCTGGTCTCTGGGTTTTTGCTAGGTCTCTGGGAATCCTTGCTGTTAGCTGAAAGCAGAGAGCAGTCATGAATAGGTCTCAGGCAGGCTCCCTGGTTGACACACCCACATTTAAGAGGGAATAAAAGGGAGTGGTGCCCCCTGCAGTTAATTCTTATACACTGTACCAATCAAGCATCATGTCAGCAATGCCTACTGATTACCTGCCCCTAGTTTTGAGTAGTACACTCAGTTTATAATGTTATGTGCTCATTGGTATAGATACAAGAGAAATTAACAAAAATGAGAAGTTAAAAAGGACAAACTTTTTTTTCATGGTACTGGGAATTGAAATCAGGGTCTTCTGCATGTTCTATCATTCAGCTACATCCACAGCCCAAAGTTTTGTATTTTCTGGCAGTGCTGGGAATTTAACCCTGGCCTTCACATGTGCTGTGTATAAATGGGCAGAAGTGAATAGGCAAGTAAAGGCACTACACTGATCCCTAGTGCAGGCCTCTTTCCTTCACATACAGACAGATCTTTGAGTTCCAGGCCAGCTGGAGCTACAGAGACAGGCATCATTGGTTTTTTTTTGTTGTTGTTGTTTGTTTCTTTGTTTTTCCTCTGTGTTTTTCTGAGACAGCATTTCTCTGTGTAGTCCTGGCTGTCCTGGAACTCTTGCTGTAGACCAGGCTGGCCTTGAATTTATAGACATCCACCTGCATTTACCTCCTAAGTGCTGGGATTAAACGAATGAGCCACCACTGCTACCACCACCAGAAAGTAGTATAGCTACTGGGAAATTGCAAATGTTCTGTAAGTAATCTTTCATCTTCTTGGGCAGTGGTGGCACACACTTTTAATCTCAGCACTTGGAAGGCAGAGGAAGAAGCCAGGTTGGTCTATAGGACAGCCAGGGCTGCACAAAAAAACCCTCTCTAAAAACAAACAAAATCCCTTCACCCATGATCCTGTACGCATCCCTAGTTAAAAGTTCATTGGGTCACCTCCAAAAAAAACACAAGTAGAAAGGAGAGAGTTGGCAAGAGGAAGGGAGTCAGCAGGAAGGCAGTAAGAGTAACAGAGGGTGAGTGTGAACAAATACATCATGTACATGCATGAGAATATGAAACACTTGTGTAATAACTAAGATATGCTAATGTGTATGGTTTTAATTTTTTAAGGAAATGCTAATTTTCCTGAACTCCAGTGGATGACCTTATATATGGCAGGGAATGCCCATGGCCCAGAAAACTTTTAAGTAGACAGGAAAACACAACTTATAAAAGCACATTAAAGTTATCTGGTGAGGAGAGGAGTCTCTTTTTTTTTTTGTTTTTCGAGACAGGGTTTCTCTGTGTAGCCCTGGCTGTCCTGGAACTCACTCTATAGACCAGGCTGGCCTTGAACTCAGAAATCTGCCTGGCTCTGCCTCCCAAGTGCTGGGATTAAAGGTGTGCACCACCATTGCCTGCCAGGAAAGGAGTCTTGGCAGAAGTAATTGGTGTCTATAGCAGGGTTCTGTTTTTGATGTTTTATGTGGTGTCTATGTGTTCATGTGTGTGGGTGCACATGTGTACATACGAAAGACAGAGGTTAATATCAGCTGTCTTCAATTGTTCCCCACAATTTCTTTTGAAACAAGGTTTCTATCTGTCTTGGAACTCACTGTGTAGACCAGGCTGCCCTCAAACTAACTCACAGAAAACTGCCTGCCTCTGCCTCTCAAGTGCTGGCTCCCACTTTATTTCTTGGAATCTCTCAGTTACTTTGGAGCTCATACATGAGTTATGCTGGCCATGAAGCCTTAGGATCCTGTTACACTACAGCCCCAAACCCTGAGCATGGGGTTACATGCAGGCCCTGTGACGATCTGAACTCTGGCCTTATGTGTATGCAGCAGGCACTTTCCTGAGTCACCTCCCCATCCTGTGAAGTTTTACTCTAATTAAGTGTATTTTTTCACAGAGAAAAGCTTCAGATCCAAGTCGGTTTACAAACCGAGGGGGAAATCTTTTAAAAGAAGAAAAGGAACGAGCAAAGCTCCAGAAAACACTCCCTAAGGTAATCCTGGTTGTAAGATACCTTATTCTTTGTCCTTTCTAAACACAGGAAGGACAGTATATATTGGGCCTTACAGTGTAGCAACTGAGTATCAGAGTTTGCTAAGGCTGCCACAGCTAAGTACCAGGGATTAGTTGGTTTAAGTCCACAGAAATTTATGTTTAATGAATTCCAGGTGTCTTTGATAGGGTTAGGTTTCTTAACAAGCCCATTTGACTTAGAGATGGCCATTCTCTGTCCCTGTATCTTCATGTGGGCTTTCTCTGGGTCTCTCTGTCCTAATTACTGCCAATCCTATTAGATTAGTGCTTACCCTAATGACCTTATTTGAAAAGGCTGTCTCCAGATAACAGCGATGAGGTGTCAGCACTGTTAAGACTTCACAGTGAGTTAGGATAACTGCTGTGCCTATGACAGAAGACAAACTTTTATGAAAGTACTGTGCACTTTGTTGTTGTCTTCTACTTTGTACTAGTGCTTTTACTGATGTCTGCCAGATACTAGTCCATGGCGTCACATTTAATCATGTCATTGTTCAGTACCCCTATAAATTACTATTCCATGTGTGGAGATGAGGGGACTGAGATTAAGTTCAACTTACCGACCTTTCTGGGTAGTTAAAAGCTTGATTCCATATTGAAATCCTGATAGTGTGGTTCCATAATTCTGTTTATTAAATCACCCAGAGCTGTTGTCCATCTTTAGTCATCAAAACCTCCCATTTTTAGACTGGGTTTTGCCTTTTTTTCCCCTCTTCAGTATAGTAAATGAACTCGCTAGTCTTTGATTTCTATGTGCTCCAACCTGTAAGCATGTGAGTCCAGCTATCTATCAGAAGGCTGATGACACTCTGGGGTGGAGTCTTTCTTGAGGATAATCATTTCATTGGAGACTAACACCCCTGTTACTTGAAGTAAATACCATGTGCTTGTTTGGGGCCAGCTGGAAGAGGAGTTGAAAGCACGGATTGAACAATGGGAACAAGAGCACTCAACAGCATTTGTGGTAAACGGGCAGAAATTCATGGAGTATGTTACAGAGCAATGGGAATTACATCGGCTGGAGAAAGAGCGAGCCAAACAGGAGAGGGTAAGTGTGCACACAAATTAAGAAGAGAGGGTAGCAATTAGTGGTCCTGCATCTCTGCCAGAGATCAGGGTCACTGAAGAATGGGTGGACTGCAGCATCTCCTTCTACCTCAGGCTGCAGAGGTTTTTATCTGAGCCTCTGGTCCTGCTGTCTTACTGGGGCTATCATTGTTTCATACAGCAACTAAAGAACAAGAAACAGACAGAGACAGAGATGCTGTACGGCAGTGCACCCCGGACACCGAGCAAAAGACCAGGACAGACTCCCAACAAGTCTGGCAAAGTACGCAAGGTAAACCCATCTTCATGCTGTTGCTGTTGACAAGGGAGTAGGAAAGCTGAGAGTCTTTTGCTTGTTATTCCCCTCTGTCCTGCTAAGAAGGCAAAAGGATTCTCTTTCTAGGCTGAGTCTATCTGAGAGTGAATGGGAAAATACTTGAAATACTGAATAGCAGCTTATAGTGAGAGTCAAAGAATAACCAACTCTGCCAGTTCTCAAGACCTTGCAATAAATTCCCAGTGGCTAAGAGCAACATTCTGTAGTAATAGTTTGCAGAAGTTCATCCTATAATTGCAACAAGTAGCCACAGTACTATGTGAAAGACCTCTTCCATGCTTTTAATAAGTGCCTTTAGAATGCTGGCTGCCATTACAGGTATGAACCATCACACAGTGTGTTAAGTAGTTTTAGAAATTAAGTAGCATGCACACAAGGCCCTGTCTCAATCCTTAGCATTCAAGACAGTGGGTATATCCATGGCCCCAAAGGTTCCTAGTGCCACGTTTGTTAGGGTCTAAGGAGGAAGAGCATACAATCAGGAATTTACTCTGTCATAGTAGTTTTGTATTTTCTAGTGTTTTATACAAGTAGACTCACGCAGTATATTGTAGAGTTTCTTTATTTCGCATGTGAGATTCATGTGTTATAGAATGGATTAGTAAGTCATTCCTCCTCTTTGTTAGCACTATTCTATTTTGTGCATATATAATAATCTAGTTGTCCAGTCGTCTGCCAAGTGGTACTTACTTCTAGTTTTAGTTCAGGTTGCTATAAATAGGCTTTAAAACATTTTTGAAAGTCCCTTAAAGCTATATGGTATTATACACAGCTATATTACTATGGAAGCTCACTTTCTGGACACGTCATGCTTCCTTGTGCAACATACAGCCGGGCTGTTGGAAAGCCTGACATCTAACCTCACATTAATGTATCTGTTCTTAGATGAACACTACCACCATGTCTAGTGCTACACCCAACAGTAGCATCCGGCCTGTCTTTGGTGGATCCGTGTACCGCTCACCTCTGTCTCGACTACCCCCTTCTGGCAGCAGCAAGGTTAGTATATTCCATACAAGCACGTTTCTGTTTACTACCTATTTTCCCAAGGTATTCCGAAGTCTAGTGTCTATGATCATGGCTTGCTGATCATTGAGATTCTGAGAATTAGGCTGGATCCAGATAGTCATTAGACCAGGAGTTTTTTAAGTTTTTCCCTTGCATGACCTCTTTTTACATGAGAAATAACCCTGGTTATATAGGTATGTATGTAACATAGGTACACACCTGGCTACATGAGATCATGCCACAAATACAAACAAGAAAAGATACACAATGGGCTGGAGAGATGGCTCAGTGGTTAAGAGCACTGGTTGCTCTTCTAGAGGTCCTGAGTTCAATTCCCAGCAATCACATGGTGGCTCATAGCCATTGGAAATGGGATCTGATGGTCTCTTCTGTCATGCTAGCATGCATGTAAATTGAACACTCATATACATAAATAAATTTTAAAATCTTTTTTTTTGTTTGTTTGGTTTTTCGAGACAGTGTTTCTCTGTGTAGCTCTGGCTGTCCTGGAACTCACTCTGTAGACCAGGCTGGCCTTGAACTCAGAAATCCGCCTGCCTCTGCCTCCCAAGTGCTGGGATTAAAAGGCGTGCGCCACCACCACCACCCAGCCTTAAAATCTTAAAAACACACACACAAGGAATTTTTTTTTAGGGTGGATTTGCTGACACAGTTTGGCACAGGGTCTCAGTCTGTAGCTCTGACTGTTAGGGACTGTTCTGTCCAGGATCTCAGAGATAGCCTGCTTCTGTTGGGCTTAAAGGTGTGCACGCACCGTCATGCCTAACTGCACCATTATTTAAGCCAGGTGTGTACAGGCTTATAGATTTAGGAGTAATATAAATGCAGCATCAGGGTTTTGTGTATGAGTGCATTCTAAAGTGACAATGAACATGGTTATCTTTCTTCTCTGCAGTCAGTAGTCACTCCTCTGTGTTCTGGAAAGAAGACACCTCGAGCTGCCCGGGTGAGGGCCAACAAGGAGAACCTGGACCTCAATGGCAGCATCCTGAGCGGTGGGTACTCTGGCTCGACCCCACTCCAGCACAACTGCAGCATTAAGTCTGTTGCCAGCACCTATTCTGAGTTTTCGGTAATTCACCTTTTCTGATATCTACCAGTCTCTGGGGAGCACACAGTTGGCTGAGTGGGTATCTTTATAAAGGCTCCCTGGATATTCAGTCAGGACAGTGACCTCAGGGCTGAGAATCCCTTTCATACCTTGATTATGCTAGGGTGTGAGTGGCTTAGGGAAGGGGTACAGGAAGGAGGTGATGTCAGAAACATTTGACCTGGATCTTTCTGCGGTACCATTCCTTGGCTGCAGGAGGTAACATGCTAATTAAATGACTGCCTTGGTGCTCTCTTGGTGGAGTTCTTGGTAATCAATCGTCTTAATTCTTTGTTCTTAGAAGGACCCGTCCCCCTCTGACAGCTCCACTGTTGGGCTTCAGGTCTGTATGGCAACCCCTGCATGTCCCCTTTCCAAACTGATCTGTCATCTGCTGGCTTCATTCCCATCTGGGCATAGAACTTTACTAACCCATAATCTCAGCAGTGTCAGCATAGAACCTTTTAAAAATAAAAACAAGAACAAAACAAAAACAGGGGAAGCAAGAATTCCTGTTATGGGGTTCAAAAATAAGTATCTGGTTTCTGTTTCCAGTAGATGGACATGCTGGCTAGTAAACAAAACATCTTCACACTTGAATTGGATTCTCAGCCCCACCTAAGATTGTGCAAAGATTATTTTTCTTAACTATTTACAAAAACAAATTAGAAAAGAAAAAAATACCTGGCCCCCATCCCATGCCCAGTTGTGGTCTCAAAGGGCTAGAAGGAGTAACAGCCCCATCAGATAGGCATGGGAGCCCCAGCTGTGTGCTGCTTATACTGAGGCTCTTTGGCCTGTGTGCTGATTATTTCCTGGAGTATACCTTACTAACCCTCAGGGCTGAATTGCCCCGTTTGTCTGGCCTATGCTTATTTTCTTGCCTCTACTTATTTCTGCCAGTGAGTTCCTAATGTGTGTGTGAAGACTAAAAACATGCTCTTTACCTGCAATTTATCCTGCTCTGAATTTGCTGACATTTTCCTTAACTGTTTTCTCTTCCCTCAGTATCTTACCAGTGAGGTGAGGGCTGCTCCTCCCCTTTTAGGGGACACCATATTAAAAACTTGACTACCTCCTCTCATGGTAACAGAGGGAAGGAGACGGGAACAGACGAGCATGGCCAGTTTGGAATATGGGGATTCTTCATGTACTGGCCTTTCTTCCCATGACACGGGTGGTGGTGGTTCTGTATTAGGAGAAATGGGGTGTGTGTAGCTCCATTTGGCTGATTGCTGAACAGCAGATCTAGTTCTCCCTTTTTTGTTTGCTCAGTCAAAGCCCATTTCCTGTTTGAGGCTTCAATGTATTAATTCTGGCTAAGCCTGGAGGGTTTCTTCTGATACCAGCAGCTTTGCTTAACAGAGTCTATGGGGTAACACTAAAGCCACTCACTCAGCTGACTTCTACTAATACCCGTCTTTCTCTGGCCATTCATGCTTTTACTTTTCCACCATGTACTCCAGCATGAGATCAAATCACCAGCAGGTTATAAAGCCCTCAGCCCCAGGGATTGGTAGATAAGTCACCTGGCCCTTGTTATACAAAGGGATAAAGAAACCAAAGTTTCTAGCAATGTGCAAGGCCTTGGGGTTCTATCCCACCCAGCAGGGTGAGGAAAAACAAAGTTTGTTGCTCTCTTGGCTAAACAATTACTATGATGTGAAATATTAGGGGTTCTTTCTCTTGGTGAGGTTTAAGATTGGACTGGGTTCGGGCCCATGTGCTAGGCTTGTGACTGACAGAATGGTGCTAGAGTCCCTCAGTCTGTTCCCAGCACAGCAGTGCTAGGAACTCAGGGACACTTCCCTGGAGGCTTTGTGCTAATGACCCTTAAGCACATTTAAAGCAGAGGGGTACAAACTGCTCTCACTGATGTTGCTTATTCTTCAACAGCGAGAACTTTCAAAGGCTTCCAGATCTGATGCTACTTCTCGAATCCTCAATTCAACCAACATCCAGTCCTGAGAATCCTTGTCCAGTTAGCCACCTGTGGCTTCTGTGCCTAGACTGACGTATACAGAGGATGACTTAATATGTTTTCATCAGTTCAGATGTTTTCAACAACCTTGGGCAGGCTCTGTTAACTGCACCTAACTTAGACATGAATACGGCAGATGGAAAGCCTTCTTTCCATGTAGTGAGACTTGTTTGGGTCAAGAAGACCCCTTAAAGGCTAGTTATGATAGTTAAGTTTTAACATCTGGTAGCTAGTTGTTTTTTCTCTACCCCATAATTCTACTTAAAGAATGATCAAGGGGTGTCTTAATATTATATTGGAAAATGAAAAAAATGATTATGCCCAGCTTTGGAGTACAGGGGTACGAGACATAAAGTGGTTCTAGCTTATTGACTTGATACATCTAAAAAAAAAAATTCTTTTCACTCATGGACATTTGATTAATGCTGTAGCTCTGGAAGCTTGGATCTTACCCAGAGGCCTGTGCCTGGCTGCACGAGCCCAGTGAGGATTTCTTGGGTTCCAGCATTTGAGATGGCCTGACCTGCTGCCATCTCAGTAGTAGTTGTTTCTGTAGTGCAATCTCTTGAGGGGTATGTGAACACACATGCTTGTCTGACCTGCTCAGTTTTTCTCCAGTCTCCCATCCCTGTGCTCACTAGGCCGAGTCTATTCCCTGTAGATGACAACCAAATAGGCTATCTAGGTGGGTTGGGCCATTTCTGTCACGGACTCAGCAACTTTGCACATCCACAAGTTATCTCTGTAACTGCGTCCACAATGAGGCTTTCTTTGCCTACCCAATTCATCACTACTCTTCCCAAAAGCACTATTATTTATTCTTTCTCTGTCTGTGCCAGTTCTGCCAACACATTAAAAATGATTCTTTAAAACTTGGTCTGTATCAGTATGCTGTTTACTCATATATATATGTATGTTTTTAAATATATTAAAATAAAAATGTATATAGTTACCTTTTAAATACATTTATTTCTCTCCAAATCAATGGTTGCTTCGATCTATAGATTAAACTCATTAAAAGAATCTATTCTCAGAATAGTTTGAATTTACTCCTTATTTTCATTTGGGAGTATTCTCATTTTGCAGCTATTAAAGGTTCTGGGCTAGGTACAGGTAAGCTGTTGGTGCACATGGAAGGCCTTGGGTGTTTTGATCCCTGGCACTACTCCAGAAATATACATATTCAACTCTTTCATACATGCTTTGTAAGATTTGCCTTATTAAGTCATGCACCTTTAATCCCAGCACTTAGGAGGCAGGGTAGATCATTGTGACCTTGTTTCAAAACCTTATGTTTCCATGCACCTAGGACAGCATGTTGAAGTAAGAGTTCATTCTCGCCTAGGGATCCACCTGAGCTTTTCAGCTTTTCTCTCTTTCCATTGCATAGACATAGGTATTCCAGGGTCCACACGTGACAGCCCTTACTTCAAGTTGTCTTTCTGCAAAGTATTCCACACGGCAGGGTCGATCCGAGCTGGTGCTGTCCTTGTGGCCAAGCTGGCCATATTTACCTAAAATGAAAGGAACCCTTCCTCTGGTAGGCCTTGCTGCTTTCCCCTACCCCACACGACCTGTTTTGTCTTCTGTGAATTCAGAAGACCAAAGCCTAAAAGCTTCCAAACCCAAGCCAACCTTGGGGTCCCCCAGAGAACAGTGGCTCCTCTAGTCATCTTGGCTACTTTTGTCAAGATGAGAACAGCTCCTTCACCCTTGTCATCTTATTTCTCTTATGTCTGCCCTTGGGCCTTCTAAGTGCCTGTTCACCCACCCAAGGGAGAGAGATGGTTTTTCAGTCCTCCCATTGCAACCCCTGCCCCCTCTAATTTGTGTAACTTGGTCATGACCTGTTCTATCTTCTCTGGCTCTTCCCCTTGATTTAATGACCACGAAACTTTTTTTACTCACCCCAGCCCCAGGTATAGAGTTCTCCTGTTCCTGCAATCAAAGAGACAGTAAGTAGCTGCCAACTACCGTTTTACTCCCAGCAAGATACCACATGGGCTGGCCCAAGTCACAGACAACATGCTGAAATTATGAAATGTGCTTTGCGCATACTCAGTACAGCTGCTGTCACATTTGGGCTCATAAAGGGTGGAAGTGCCAGGGATCAAAACGTTTAACTTCCTAAATACCGACTGACCTCAGTACGTGGAGTCACACCCTAGATGGAACAGGTTTCCTGGCTGCAACTGATTAACAAGCTTTTAGAAGGAGAACCTATTGGGCCTGAGGCTGTGGAGCTGGTTTTTCTTTGTTTTATTGGAGTGGTTCTCTACTTTCCTAATGCTGAGACACCTCAGTACAGTTCCTTGTGTGGTGACCTTTAACCATAAAATTATTTTATTCCTACTTTATAATTTTGCTAGTTATGGATCATAATAAAAATATCTGATATGAAACCCCCAGAGGGGCCAAGACCCATAAGTTGACAACCAATGTTGTTGTTTTTTTTCTTTTTCTTTTCTTTCAAAGTTTGAAACAGTCTCACTGTTTAGCCCAAAGGTGACCTCAAAGTCCCAGTTTCCTGCCTCATTCCAAGGGTTAGCATTTAGAAGTGTGTGCCAAACTTTTCAATGAGTGAGGCAGCAGATCATAAAATATGTATCAAAGATGCTATAACATGGTAATGCCTGTTAAAAACAGCTTAGTAGCAGTGTGCTTGCTTAGCACATGAGAGGCCCTGGATTCAATCCCCAGCACACAACAGCTGCTCCAAAGCCTGACAACTACTTGAGCCCAGGAGTATCAGATAGTCCTGTATAAACAGAGTCTCTTCCTAAAATTAAAAATGGGCAGGCAGGGCAAACTGCAGTCCCCAGCTAAGTCCTGTTCTACCCTGATCCTGTCCCACTCACTCGTCACGACAGCCGTGTGTCGGGATCCGCAGCTGGCCTTGACTGCATCTGAGCCCAGGGGAAGATCCAGTAGAGCTGGGAAGGGCTGGATGGCTATGAAGTCGGCAGGAGCTCCGGCATCAGCCGTAGCTGCCTCCTCTTCTTTGAGACCATCTTCTTTCAATTCTGTGGTTTTAGAATGGTTACAGTGTGTTCAGTATTCACAGGCATGTGAGCATCCACATACTGTCTTCCGGCAGTGGCTCTATAAAAGACTATTTTCTGGCTCCAGAGCTGGTGCCCAAGCCTAGAGGTTGTGCAGTGCCAAAATACCAGAATGATTCTCAGTGTCCAGCACACAATAAACGAGCCAGGAAGGACATTCTAGAGGGTGACCTCACCTTCCTCTCTCACTGTTTTCTTCTCTGTCCTGCTCCTTGTGGGAAGGGCCAGCTGTCCTGACTCATTCCAGCCCCAGATATAAATATCCCCAGTTTCTGCAAGAGACCAAGAAGCACACAGTGGAGCCCTTTCATCCACCCCACCTCCCCAAACAGCCCCAACACCAGTTTCTAGGGACGAGTAAAGGTTGCCCTGTCTAAGCAGCCTTCCAAGCAAAGATGTCCATACCAAGCCCCAGCAGCTTCCTGGTCTTAGATCCCCTGCCCATACATACCCCTTCTCCCCTTCCCTTTTTTTTTCTTTTCCAAACAGCCCCACTATGTACCTCTATGGTAGGCCTCAAAATCTCCAATCTTCCTGAATCTTGGGGCTACAGGCATGAACTACCATGCCCAGCTTTTCTTTGGCTAACTCCAGGCTGACGTTCTTTTGTCTCAGCCTTTCCAGGAGCTAAAACTGCGTGTGAGCACCAAGTTTAGTGAGCCTTTAACTTCCATGCTACCCTGCCTTCACTTTCATTTTTCTCCTGAGTCTTACTTTGTAGCTCTAACTGTTCCGGAACTCACTGTGTAGATCAGGCTGGCCTTAAACGCAGACATCCACCTGCCTCTGCCTCTGAAGGGTTAACATTAAAGTCATGCACCACGATGGCCAGCCCGTTATGATTCTCTCATTTCAAAACTTGCCTATTTCCCCAACTCCAGTATCCCTACATCTACCTCTACTATCTCCATTTAAAGCCATGAAGGTAGTAGCCTGTGCCCTTTTTCAATCCCAGCTCCCACGGGTCCTGCTGAAGGGTCCGGCTCTTACCTTCCTTCTCATAGCACTGCCCCACATTAGAGGGCTGGAGCCCTAGTGTTCTAGTTACTGTCCACGGCTGTGATTAAAAACAACTATTACCAAAAGCAACTCGGGAGGAGGAGGGAAGTCAGGACTGGAACCTGGAGGCAAGAGCTGAAGCAGAGGCCATGGAGGAATGATGCTTATGGCTTGGTTCCCCTGCTCACGGCATCCAGGACCACCTGCTCAGGGGTGGCGCAGCCCCTGGGGGACTAGGACCTCCCGCATCAGTCATCAGTCAAAATCTGATGGCCAATCTCAATTGAGGTTTCTCTTTCCAGATGACATTAGCTATGTCAAGTTGGTAACAAATTACTAATGTCAAAGAGTCACTAGCAACACTACTTGGGAGGCAGAGGCAGGAAGATAAAAAGTTCAAGGTCAGTCAGTTTGAGACCAAGCTGCTCTTAAATGAGACTGTGTCTGAATACAACCTTCACTAATAGAAACTTTATAAAATGCTCAATTTTGCACTTTCCAAATGTCATCATGAAGCCCTAGAAGTATTTCTGACAGAATCCTCACTCTCAAGTCAAATGAGACGGATGTAGTACCAGGACGAAGGTTGCAGGGCCAGAGTAAAGACTGGAAACTGGGAAGCCTCGTTTGACACCTCTATGCTTCAACCTTTTGCAAGCACAAGGTCTCAAACTCCTGAACTTTAGGTGTGAAACTTGCTTTTAGGCTGTTGTTTCCAGCCCTCTGTCCTCTGCCTCCCTGCTCAGGTTGAACCTTGCTGCCATTACATGAGTACATGGGGTATTGAGAGACCCAATAAGAAAGATCAGTAGCTTCTAGCGCTGTAGAGATGGCTCAGTGGTTAATAGTTGCTCTCCCAGAGGACCAGGGTTCAGGAGCTGCCCACATAACAGCTCATAGCTGCTTGTAACTCCGGTACCAGGGGACCTGGTGACTACTTCTGGCCTGTCTTGACACCTGCACTGATACTCCACCCGTATTTTTAAAAACCAGCACCTTATCTATACCCTTTCTGCTCCAAAAGCCTAGAAGATTAGCAGCACCTAGAAAGCCCAACCACCAAGATGGACCCAATACACAAAAGCCCTAAGCCACACGCTATGAATGAACACGGCAGCACACCTCTCTGCCATCCACCACGGCTACCTGGGCATAGGCAGCTGCCTTCTGGCTGAGCTGTCTCTTAGCATTTCCCTTGCATAAGTGTCCTTCCCTTCTAGTGTATTTTATTTTATTTTATTTTTTTGTTTTTTGAGACACGGTTTCTCTGTATAGCCCTGGCTGTCCTGGAACTCACTCTGTAGACCAGGCTGGCCTCGAACTCAGAAATCCGCCTGCCTCCCAAGTGCTGGGATTAAAGGCGTGTGCCACCACTGCCCGGCCCTTCTGGAGTATTTTAGATGAATGGGTGCAGTAAGGAGCCCAGTAACAGAAAGACAGTAACCGCAGCGCCATAAGAGGGTAGTAGAGTCAACAGGCTAAATCTGGAAATCCTAAAGAATCACGGATGACAGGACTGGGTTGAACTTGGAATGCAGCCTCAGCTAGACCACCCACAAAAACACAGAGCAAGAGGAAGGCGTGGCCAAGATCCCCAGCTTGTTTGGAGCCGCCCCAGGTCACTCACCACTCACACACACAGAGTGCCAGCCACCCGCGGCCACCTCAGCCATCCGCAGGCCTTGCAGCGCCTCCAACAGCCGTGGCTCCAGTTCTGCCTCCAGCGTCCCGTGGCCCAGCTGTCCATGCCTGATCAAAGGAATCCCTAATCGGCTCCAGGTACATTCAAGAGAGCGCTTCCTTGGGCTTCACCACATCATACCTAGCTGGTCCTCACCTGCCCCCACCCCAGGAGAACACCTGGCCAGCTTCGCACAGCAACAGCACATGCTCAGCACCCAGCTCCAGCTGGCGTACCCGCAGCTCTGGGGCCAAAGGCTGGCAGAAGGGTGGCTGTGGGGTCACATAGGCACGGGCGCAGGGCAGCAATGGCAGGGTCCCTATCCTAGACTCACTGCTGGGTTCATCTTTCTCTTGGGCTTCTGCCCCAGAAACCAAGTTCTGGACCCAGAGGGGCTCCCCCTGTAGCGCAGAACCTGGTACCCAGGCCTGCAGTTCCGTGCCAGACCCGCCCTTGTGGCGCAGCACCACCAGGAGTCCCTCTGAAGCCCACGCGTCCTTGCAGCCGTCTGCTGCACCGCTCACAGAACCCGACAGTTCCACCCGGCCTCCACCTGTGTGGGTAGAGTCGGGTGGGACACATGTCATGGACCTGGGAGGCTCAAGACGGCCAGAGTAAGGGTGTAGGGTATTTCTGGATGGGCATGTTAAGAAGGGTTGGGCAGGTAAACAGCCCGGAGTTGGGGTTGTGAGGGCACTCACGGGTCACCAGGGCGGTGTAGCTCCAGCCTGCGCTCACTTGGCAAATATCATCACTGGCATGCAGTGGTTCAGGACTGTGCACTGAATGATGGTCGGTCCCAGAGCCCAGCGCTTGCCCAAAGCCACAGAAACCAAAGCCGAACCAGGCTCCATGCCGTTTCTCGGCCATGTTCAGGTTGAGCCGGGGGTGGGGGTGGGGGTGGAGGACACACACACTTAGCTGGGGTATGGACTAAGGGATGTGAGATTAAGGCTGCAACCCAAGGAGATTCTTGCAAACTGGACACCTCAGGAACGCTGGCGAATCTGGCCTTCCAAGGGGTTGCAGCAGCATTATCTAAAAAATAGAGACAGTATACCATCCTATTCACTGGGGCAAAGGGAGTCCATCCCATATTGGCTGCTGAGAGGAGCTTTGGTCAAAGGTCCTACCAGATTTGTGACTGTTGAACTGTCTGCAGCTGACCGCTTCTTCTACTTTTGGCTCAAATCCAGCGTCCCACTGTAAGAAATATTAAGTATGTGTCTTTTCTGTCAAACACCATAAAACTTGTATTCAGGACAAGAAAAAAATTTTATAAAAGATTTATTATTGCCGGGCGGTGGTGGCGCACACCTTTAATCCCAGCACTTGGGAGGCAGAGGCAGGTGGATTTCTGAGTTCGAGAGTTCGAGGCTAGCCTGGTCTACAGAGTGAGTTCCAGGATAGCCAGGGCTACACAGAGAAACCCTGTCTCGAAAAACCAAAAAAAAAAAAAAAAAAAAAAAAAAAAAGAAAGAAAAGAATGAAAGAAAATTAAAAAAAAAAAATTATCATTTCAGAGGGCTGGTGAGATGGCTCAGTGGTTAAGAGCACCTGTCTGCTCTCCCAGAGGTCCTCAGTTTAATTCCCTGCAACCACATGGCGACTCACAATCATCTGTAGTGGGATCTGATGCCCTCTTCTGGTGTGTCTAAAGAAAGCCGCAGTGTACTCACACACATAAAACAAATAAATCTTTTTTTTTTTTTTTTAAAGATTTATTATTTTGGGCTAGAGAGACTACTCAGTAGTTAAGAGCACTGGCTGCTCTTCCAGAGGACCAGCAACCACACTGTGGCTCATGACTGTCTGTAACTCCAGTTCCAGTGCTTCCTACACCCTTACACAGACATACATTCAGGCAAAACAGCATGCGCATAAAACAATAAAATGTTTTTCTTGCACATTTATCTGTGTACCTTGTTTGTGTCTGGTGTTACTAAAGGGCAGAAGAGGGTGTCAGATCCCCTGGTACTGGAGTTGTGAGCCATCATGTGGGTGCTAGAACTGAACCCAGGTCTTCAGGAAGAACAGCAGTGCTCTTAACCACTGAGCTTCCCCACCCCCTTTTATTTTGAGACAGGGTCTCTCTATGCAATCCCCTGCTGTCCTGGAACTCACTATGAAGAACAAACTGGCTTCAAACTCACAAAGATCTCCTCATCTCTGCCTTCTGAGTGATGAGATCAAAGGCATGTGCCAGTCAGTACTTCTATCCCTTGCCTGAGACTTAGATCTTTATCTCCACATACCTTGTAAGACTATTTTTAAAATGTTACACACACAGACACACACCAGTAAATCCTCTGTTTTCTCAACGTCCCATAACCAGTGACCCTTTTCCCTTTCCTCCTTAACTTCCTGTGGGCTGTCTTACAAGTCTACTCAATTTGGGGCAAGGTGTGGTGGTGCACGCTTTTGAACCCAGCACTTGGAGGGAGAGGCAGGTGGGTCTCTGTGAGGCCAGCCAGATCTACATAGCAAGTTACAGGACAGCCAAACAAATAATACTGTGAAATCAGACCCCAGCCAAAGTGGGAAAGAGTTCACCAGGGTTGGAGGAAAACCAAGTGTGTTTCTTATCTCTGTGTTCTAAACTTCCCAGCTTAAGTGGTTGTCTGGGTCCAGGAATCACCTCTCAAACCACACAAACACCAATCTCAGCCAGACAAGGATAGTTTATTGAGCATATGCCCAAGGACTGATCAACCAGGGCCACAGTCCACATTCGGGAAATAAACTGTGACCCTAAGTTAAGATTCTACAGGGTTTTTGGGCTGGAGAGATGGCTCAGTGGTTAAGAGCACTGACTGCACTTCCAGAGGTCCTGAGTTCAAATCCCAGCAACCACATGGTGGCTCACAACCATCTGTAATGAGATCTGATGCCCTCTTCTGGTGTGTCTGAAGATAGCTACAATGTATTCATATATAATAAATAAATAAATCTTTAAAAAAAAAGATTCCAAAAAAAAAAAAAAAAAAATGCCGGGCGGTGGTGGCGCACGCCTTTAATCCCAGCACTTGGGAGGCAGAGGCAGGTGGATTTCTAGTTCGAGGCCAGCCTGGTCTACAGAGTGAGTTCCAGGACAGCCAGGGCTACACAGAGAAACCCTGTCTCGAAAAACCAAAAAAAAAAAAAAAAAGATTCTACGGGGTTTTTAAGCCTAAAATTCACAAACATCTGTGCCAAATTATTCTACCAAACAGGATTTAGGGATAGGGTCTTGCCTTAGGAACGGGTCTTTGTTGTACACTTATCCTGTTGAATATCCAGGGTTGGGGTATTCAACTGTGGCAGGGATGTCTTAAGTTGCCAACCAGGATGTCAGTTACCCACATACACGTCTCTTTCTGCCAAGCAGGATGTCAGTTCCCAGGGAAGTCTTGGGAATTTAAACTTTACTTGACCCCTACTCAAAATAGAAGTCTTATTCGAAATAGTTTCATATATTGATGCAGGTGTCTCTCTTACCTTAGGATCCATCCCAGGGGCAGTTTATACCATAAAAGCTTATACACAGGTACAGGAAGTACTGTTGGGTGGTTGTTTCTGGTCCAAGGGTAACTATACAGAACAGGTCAACTGACTTCTACTGTGATTGGTTTCCAAGGACACAGAACATATCAGCATACGAAATCAATCTTAGCACTAGAAAGTTTCCTAGTAACTTTTAGTTTCCAAAGGCACAGAACATAACAATGTATAATCACCTTGGCATTAGAAAGTTTCCTTATAATGGCAGGCTAGCCAGGTAACAGTCACCTAAGTCTTAACCTTCCATCTAGGCCTTAACAGTGGTCTCTTTCTTTGCGACCCAGAACTTATTTCTATTACCACAACGGAACTGTGAGGTGTTTAAGTGGGAGATCAGCTGCACCACTAGGATCTGAGGCCCACAGCTCCTGCTTCCTAGCCTTGAGAACTTTAATCCCAAGGCTCCATTCAAATCGGCTCTGTCTTACCACAGATTCCCAACCCACAGCAGGTGTGGAGCTGAGTCAAGTCCTGTGGATTTATAAGTCTCGTCCCATCAGGCAGAATAAACACCTGGGACCTAGGCGAGCGTGCCTGGGCACCTGAATCCTATTGCACTCCCAAAGCGGGTGGGAACAGCACTACTTGTATCTACTTAGCAGAACTGTTTGCAACACATGCAAATCAAATTTTAAGTGGCAACAGTCTTAGCTTAATAAATGCAGTAGCATTTAACGACGAAACTGACCATTGGTTCTTACCGGATTTCAGAAGCATTTGGACAATTTCCACTGGACCTTACTCGGTCTTTTATTCTTTCAAGAAGTCTTTGTTGCGCGTTTCCTTTGGCTTAATGAGGTGACTATGGGCCCCAGGGAGCTCACGCTGAAATAGACAGTCGCACGGTTCCAAATGCAACGCCACTTCATTCGACTGGATCAGAATTTTACAGACACTCTCAAGCCTCTTAAGTCAGACCTGAGTCCACAGCTCCCGGATCCCCAACCAAGGGGACCTTTGACCTTCCCCTTGCCCCTGTACTCTCAACCCATCAGAAAAGCCCTTTAAGGAGGATACCTCGGAAATGGCAAACGCGTAGTAGTGCGCGGCTCCGGAACAGACTGGCGGCGGGGCAGAACACATTTAAAGGACCCCGCCAAGCAAAGCGGTCATTGGATGCGGCAGCTTTTCGGAGCCAATCGCAGGTATGGGCGGTGACGTCACCACTGGGGCCCACTTGACGTGCACACATGCGCCCCGATACCTGCCCTTTGCCAAGCCAATCCGGGCCGCTCCAGGCAGTGGGTGCTCCGGTGGCCGCCGACAGCAATGGACGCTGTTGGAACCACTGAATGAATACTCATGAAGATCCGGGGGGAACGGCGGGCGAAGACCAAGCCCTGGGACTCTCCATTCCCTTTGAACAAGGAGGGAGGTGGTTCACTACTGAACAAGCGCAGGACTGATGTACAGACAGGAAGCGGTAGTACCTGTGCCTTCACTGATTGGCCCAGGCTCTGTCATTTACTTGTACTGAGCCAATGAGTTCCAAGCTTTGGACTCCAGCCTCTAAGAGAACTTGAGCCAGACACAGCTACAGAAAAATATATTTTCCTTGAGGGAAGCGCACACCAACCCCAGATTCCAAACATAGAAAACTCACAATATCATGACAAATGTATCCAAGGGCCCGCATACGAGATTACCATTAAACGACACTGAAATCTGATCAGTTTCCTAATAGGCTAATCCTTCCACCAGGACATAGAACGAACCCAGGCTGGGTGATGATGGCACTCGTAATTCCCACTACTCTTTAAGGGCTGAGGAAGGATGGTGAGTTTGAAGCCACCCTGACCTTCCCATATGGGATCCTTGCCTCAACTAGAAAGATTTTTGATGGACCAACCGGCTTCCTTCTCTCACAGCGATAGCACTCTGCAGCAGGCTTTGCTGATGCCCACCTGCTGCTCCGGAGCGTCCCACCCTCAGCAGCCCCGCCTACACAAACACATACTTTAGTTCCACATGATTTATTAGCGGGACAAGCCTGCTGGCAGGCTCTGGTGATGCTCCCGGCTCGTGAGGATGCTTTGTGCCCTTCCTTCTTGATGCCCATAATCCACAGGCTTGAATGGGATGCATGTTCCCCACTTCCAGCTCTCTGCAATAGACAGGGCCCTTCTGAGTGCTGGCAAGGCAGGGCTGTGTGGTGTGTGATCCCTCAGAATAGAAAACACCATGGTACAGCTGTGGAGGAGAGGTGAGTGTCCAGCATCCTAGTCCTGTTGGCCAAGCTCCTTCTATCCTGACTCTCAGAGCTGTGATGGTGGCAGATATACAAGCTTTGGGCCCAGGGCCGATCCTCACTCTCCATCCTGGTTGGGTTGGATGAGTCTATACGCTACTGCTTTCTCCAGACAGGCTGCAGCAGCCCTGGTGACTGGACTCTCCTCGCCCTTGGCCAACACTGACAGGATCTCCAGGACCTCACTCTCCATCAGGGTGCTGGCGATCTCCTTCGAGGACTCCATCATGTTCAGCACCACCACAGTGCCCCGGTGTTGCAGCTCCTGGTTGGGGCTCAGAAGCAAGGCCTTCAAGATCTCCAGCCAGTGTGTGGTCTGTAGGAAAGGGCGGGTGTGGAGACTCAGCTCAACAGTCTCAACTCAGGTAGAAAACACATCTACACCCTGGGAGCTTCCCCACAGAAGAGCAATAGCACGATGTAAGGGATTGCTAGCTCCCTCATCCTCCCCTGCCAAGAGCAGGCACTAACCACTTGTGGGATACGGCTGCAGAGGGAGGGCCGCATGGAGGTGAGCATGGCCAGGCCCCCAGCAGCAGCCCTCCGCAAGAGCTCATCATCCTCTCCGCTGTACAGCACCAGCAGCTTTAATCGGTCATTGCCCTGGGCTTCAAAGAGATCCTGCACCTGTGAGCAGATAGAGAAAGGACCGTGCTACCGGGCACAAAGCCTACTCAAAGTGCAGGGCCGCTCGCTAGCTAGCATCTCTGTCATGGCGACCAGCTAGACCAACCCTCACCTCTTTGCTCATGGCTAAGTTACACATGCACTCTGTAGCTGCCCGGCGGATCATCTCATGTTCCTCAAACATGTAGCCCTCAATCATGGGCACAGCCTTCTCCTTCAGGATCTTCTGTCTGCAGGACGAAGTTGGAAGGGCGTGACTCGAGTCTCCATATTCATAATGTGCCACCCTATCCCAGGTAGCTGAGCCCTGAGCTGAGGTGCTCCCCTAGCAATGCCCAGAGACTTCCTGTACGGGTTGTGAACTGCAGTGCCTTCTAGCCTTCTGGTCTGGCTAGAAACAGCAATGGGGTTGGGAAGCATCCTGGAACTTAGCAAAGCAGGGTGGTTATGAAGATGGCTCTGAAAACATCAATCATTTGAGCACTGAACCTGCCCAAGCCGCTTGAACTGTTTCACCGGACACTCATCATAACCCCATGCCTGAATTCTCTTCCTTCATGGTCACCTGACTCCATGTATAGTGCAGGGGTGGCTACCGTCACTATGTAGCCAAAGGGGACACTGGGCCACGTGGCGAGTTGTGTGTTCAAGGTCACAATTAGTACTAACAGCTAATACACCTTCACTGTGACTACTGCCAGGGCCAGATACTATGAACTAAGGGTTTTGGAGGGGCCAGGGAGGGGCCTTTCGAGGCAGATTATAGCCTAGCCTGGCCTAGAATTCACAGCCAATCTTCTTCCCATGGCCTGAGCCACCACACCCACGTGTGCCTGATGATAAAGAGTTTTATAAGCTTTTCTCAGCAACCTCTCCACGCTCCTACTCCATGGGTTAGAGACTTAATGAACCACAGAGTGGAAACTGAGGCGGAATGCCTTAAAGGCTTTCTTAGGGTTATACAGCGAGCCACTGAGTGTCAGCAGCCTGGGGAGAGGAGAAGGAAGTAGAGGGCAAAGTCAGGGCCCCAGAATTTCACCCTGCCACCCGTGTCATGATTCTTTATTCGTATACTACAGAGGAGTCATTGCGAGGCACAAAGAATGACGAGGCACTGTCTCCCAAACTACAGAGTAAGTAACTGGGGCTCGCCCGAATCCCCATGCCGAGCTCCCATGGGACCTTACCTGAGCCTCTCGCTGATCCCCGCCAGGTTCGTTAGGGCCATGAGGGCCTCAAAGTTCTGCAGTCCTGAGCAATTGAGGTGCAGCAGAGAGACAAGGGGCCGGACAACTTCGTAGATCTGTGATAGAACCCCACCTATCAGTGCTCACCCAGTAGGGAGTCCCAGTAGGGAGCCCACCCGAGACAGTGGCTCTACAGCTGTCGCCTATCCCAGGACTCAGCAAAACTGCCACTTCCTGCTGGTCACAAGAGGGAGCCCAGGCCAGGCACCATCGAGGCATAAGGAGGAAACAGGAGGGGTCACGCTGGAGCAAGGAGACACATACCCGCTCACCAGGGAAGGTCATCTCTGGGTTGGAGGTGATGGTAAGCTTGGCAAGAGCCTGGGCTGCCTTCGTCTGCCCAACATCAGTGCCTTCCAGGGCCAGCGGGAGCAGAGCCTGTCAGACAGTCCCAGTCCTGTCAGTGCCCAGTCTGGCCCTTGGGAGCACAAGGTCCAAGCCATGAATCCTGCACCCTCTCTCTTACTCGTTCCATGGGCCTGAGATTACTCCCTGCTCAGACTCCCCCTCACTCTGAGGTCTCTCGTTAAACCTTCCTCAACCACCTATTAAGTGCTAACCATGGGTTGTGCTGGGCCCTGGGGCCACAGAGGGAAAAGGAGGCAAACTCAGGATCTTTATGGGCCCAGGGGACTCTGAGGAGTCTGTTCACAGAAGCGTCATACTCCACCGGTCACTATTAGTGTCCTCCAAGGCCAGCAGCCACTTACTCATGTTTTATAGGTGGATGGCTCAGGATCAGGAAGGAGTCAGAAACCAGCTTACCTTGCCTCCTCCCTGGGCAACCACGGTACCTCGATCCTCCACCTCTTCCACCAAAGCCAAGAAGACCCTGCCAGGAGAAGGTGTGGTGGGTAGGCGGGGCCCAAGGCTCCAGCAGGCAGGCATTTCAAGCTAAGCAAACTAAGGCAGCCAAGTGCTCTAAGACCCACCTAAGCACGGCACCCACCCCTACAGGCAGGCATACGGCAGGCTGAGGCAGGAGTTAGCAGAGGCAGGCCGGCTTACCTGGAGAGTAGCTCCCTACAGGAGTTCGTCAGCACGGGGCTCTCTGTCTTCACCATACATGTCATGGCTGACACCACACCTGCCGCCAGCAGCTTCTTCACACGAGCCCGCACGAAGCTTGGTTTGTCCTGCGAGAGAAGGCAGTTCGAGAGGGAACCCTGGCTGGCTGGGTGGGAAAATGTGCACTATGTGCACTTTTCTCACAGAAGACACTGAGGAACATGAAAACAAGTCTTAGCCAAGAAATAGCCGTCTTAAAGGAAAGCTTTCTGCCGAGGATCAATCGCCCAGCTCAACTGCTGCCTATAACAGGCAGGCTCCGCCCCCACCCCAGGCCCTCCTAGTACACCCGTACCTTAGGGTGCTGCTCAGGGACATGCTGCTTGGCGTACTTGGCCAGCTCCACCATCTTGGGGTCAGGCTCCTCATAGTCGTAACTGTTGGTGCAATTGACCAGTGCCGAGCCTACGGCAAAGAGCACCGACCTTTCTTCAGACTGCCAGGAGAGAGGGGCATTCAGCAGGGCAGTCCCGGCAGAGCAGCCCAGCTCACAGCAGCCGAGCCAGGCCTCCATCCCACCCTCCACAGCTCCACCTGGAACCTAGGGCAAGACTGGGAACTTGCTCCAACCTCAGACTCAGAGCTCACAACCCTGGCTCCTCCTCCAGGACAACTGTGCCTCCAGACACTACAGGCACCAAGGCCACCCAACACAGCTGGCTCTGCTTTCCCAGGATCACAGGGACACTGGTGAGACCCACTAAAGCCTGGTAAACGCTCCTCCTAGATCCCGCCCGCCTGAGGCTGAGAGCAGGAACCCGCAGAGCTACCCTGCTGAGCTGAAACAGGGCCTTGAGAGCAGCCTGGTCCTCCACAAACTCTTCCTTCACATCCGCGTCAAAGGTGAGGTAAGCCAGACCCTCCACTGCCCAGCGCCGAGTACCCGAATCAATCTGGTCATTGCACAGCCACCTAGGGACATGTATGATCACGGACAGCAATCAGAGGTACGAAGCAGGAGCCAACCATGGTACAGGTACAGGCCTGTGATCTCAGGATTCGGGTGGCAGAGACAGGAAGGTCACAAACCCTAGGCCGGTTTGGGTTTAGTGAGACCCTATCTCAAAAAAAAAAAAAAAAAAAAAAACCAAAAAAACTGAGTATGACAGAAAATAATCGTGGGAGAAAGGAGTAACTTGGACAAAGAAGAAAGCTGAGGGGCTTGAGTCTCCCCGTGACACAGTCACTTATGAGATGGGATCTAGGAGGATTTGTCTAAGGAAAAACAGTTCCTGCCTGGGACAGACAGCGGGAAACAAA